GGCCAGATCAAGAACACTCTCCAGGAGGTAGGTGTATGTGTGTCAAAGTCAACAATCAAGAGAAGACTTCACCAGAGTGAATACAGAGGGTTCCCCACAAGATGGAAACCATTGGTGAGCCTCAAAAACTGGAAGGCCAGATTAGAGTTTGCCAAACGACATGTAAAAAAGCTTTCACAGTTCTGGAACAACATCCTATGGACAGATGAGACCAAGATCAACTTGTACCAGAGTGATGGGAAGAGAAGAGTATGGAGAAGGAAAGGAACTGCTCATGATCCTAAGCATACCACCTCATCAGTGAAGCATGGTGGTGGTAGTGTCATGGCGTGGGCATGTATGGCTGCCAATGGAACTGGTTCTCTTGTATTTATTGGTGATGTGACTGCTGACAAAAGCAGCTGGATGAATTGTGAAGTGTTTCGGGAATATTATCTGCTCATATTCAGCCAAATGCTTCACAACTCATTGGACGCCGCTTCACAGTGCAGATGGACAATGACTCAAAGCATACTGCAAAAGCAACCAAAGAGTTTTTTAAGGGAAAGAAGTGGAATGTTATGCAATGGCCAAGTCAATCACCTGACCTGAATCCGATTTAGTATGCATTTCACTTGCTGAAGACAAAACTGAAGGGAAAATACCCCAAGAACAAGCAGGAACTGAACACAGTTGCAGTAGAGGCCTGGCAGAGCATCACCAGGGATGAAGCCCAGCATCTGGTGATGTCTATGCGTTCCAGACTTCGGGCTGTAATTGACTGCAAAGGATTTGCAAACTAGTATTAAAAAGTGAAAGTTTGATTTATGATTATTATTCTGTCCCATTACTTTTGGTCCCTTAACAAGTGGGAGGCACATATGCAAACTGTTGTAATTCCTACACCGTTCACCTGATTTGGATGTAAATACCCTCAAGTTAAAGCCGACAGTCTGCAGTTAAAGCACATCTTGTTCGTTTCATTTCAAATCCATTGTGGTGGTGTATAGAGCCAAAAATGTTAGAATTGTGTCAATGTCCCAATATTTATGGACCTGACTGTATAAACATTTTATTTTGGTCCTTGTATATAGTGATATGAGGTAGCAGGGGAACATCCGCCAACCACAATGGTAAAAGCAATCAGTATTTTTATTATCAGGCACTCAACAATTTGTTTCTTCATCAAACACACAAAAAAAAAAAAGTTAGTAGTTCTATTACATATTGGGTTGCCACTTCATCCCTTTAAAACCGAACACATATCAATTACACAGATTCTGTGGTTGATTAAGGTGGTAATTAAACTCACTTAGTGCCTTATCTGCAATAAATTAGCCTCAGAACCTGTGTAATTAATATGTGTTCGGTTTTAAAGGGATGAGGTGGCAACCCTAATTACATAGATTCTCACCACTAATGCCTTAGTCCTATAATGGGGTTGGATTACGAACAGGCTGCAGGGGTTCAGCAACAAATGTCTCATTTTATAAAATATCTCCATACTTGCCTCTCTCTGCACGCTACTTCACGGGTACTGTTCCCTTCCTATTGCACTCCAAGATGGCTTAATATACCTGCCATCCAGACACATTTCAAATGTCCTATCCCATATTTTAAATAAATTTACATAAAAAATACAATTATTTGTGATACTTACCTTTCAATTGACATCCATTCAGACTTAAAAAAAAGTTTTCCGGATGTCGACGAAAGTCTACATGCAGTGTCCAAAATAGTCCCTTGCTATCCTGCTCCATCAACAGTGGATGTACCCAATAATACCTTCTTTTGCTGGCATGCGGTCTCAGCAATGCAATGGCCATCACCATGAATAAGCCTGCCAGTGCAGCCATCTTTTCTACACAGTAGCACAGAGCAAGCAAAGGACACTTTCTAGGAATAAATGGGAAGTTACCTAGAAGCATAGTCTTGATGAAAATAAAGCTTTTTCCAGTTGAAATTAGCCAAAGAAAGAAGGAAAAAAAGCATCTGGAATGCATCTAGAAATGCATAAAAAATGCACCAAAACACATCAAAAATGCGTTAAAAATGCGCATACAGAAAATGCATCTGGAACACATCTGGAGTGCGTTTTTGTGGTGAGAACCAGCTCTAAAACTATTGATTGCATATCATGTCTTTCTCAGCCCTCTCATGAGGTACAACAATTAGAGGGTGCTCTCAAACAATTTATGGTTATCTATGAGAGTTATCATAGACTGTACCTTAAATATTCTAAAATATTCTAATCTCTTAAAGCGGTAGAACACTGAAGAGTCACAGGAAGAATTAAAGGGATTATATGTGCTTAACCACTTGCATCCTGGGCACTTTTACCCCCTTCCTGCCTAGGCCAATTTTCAGCTTTCAGCGCTGTCGCACTTTGAATGACAATTGCGCAGTCATGGAACACTGTAGCCCTATGACATATTTATAATTTTCTTCACACAAATAGAGCTTTCTCTTGGTGATATTTAATCACCACTGGGGTTTTTATTTTTTGCTAAACAAACAAGAACATTTTGGTAATATTAAATAAAAGATAATATTTCTCCTTCACTGATGTGCGCTGATGAGGCTGCACTGATGGGCAATGATGAGGTGGAACTGATAGGCAGCACTGATGTGCACCAATAGACAGCACTGATTAGAACTGATAGGCTACACTGATAAGGCTGCATGGATGAGGCGGCACTGGTGGGCATTGATGAAGAGGCACTGATGAGGCTGCACTGATGTGCGGCACTGATGGGCAATGATGGGCACTGATAGGCAGCACTGTAGGGGAAATAATAGGCAGCACTGAAGAGCACTAATAGGCAGCATTGAAGAGCCCTGATAGGCGGCACTGACTGGCAGCACTGAAGGGCACTGACTGGCAGCACTGATTGGCAATGATAGGCAGCACTGATGGGCACTCTTGGGGCTGCACTGATAATCAGGGCATTGATAATCAGTGCTCTGATTATCAGCGTAGTTGTCTCTTTCCACACTTGCCAAATTTTGGCAGTACATTACGCACACTGACAGCGTTAGGAAAGTGCTGTCTATAACCGACAAGTATGTTTACATTGTGATCATCTGTGATTGGACACAGCTGGTCACAGAAAGCACCAGTTTCTGCACCATAGAGGGGGGGGGGATGTGCAGTTCTGAGAGGACAGCGGTGGGGGGCATAGATCTGAGAGGACATCGTATGGCATCCTCCAGAACTGTACGGCCGCGCTGTAGCCATCATTCGGCTATAGCAAGTGGTTGATCTTGAGAGGGATAGTTTAGTACTACAAAACAAAGGCAGAGGTGAGAATCACACAACTTCATGAATCTAAATATCATCTGCTCTGACACTCCGGAAACCAAACCAGAAACCGCAGGTAAGAAAAAACTGATAGAAGCACAGATGGAATCACAAGAAAGCAGAGGCAGAAGCCATAGAAACCTTTTGCACCACAGAAAACTGTAGACACCAGTATGCAGATAATAGACAATGCATCTTACCATGAGGCTAGTCAACTCTCTCCTACCAAGTACACTGTTTCCCAGCTGCAACCCAACATGGCGATCAACTCTGAGTCAATGTCGGGTATGACTGCCTCTGCACCACCACCATTCCTCCAAGAGTCACTCAATCTCAGCACACTAGCCCATGTAACTGACTTTGTTCCAGATGTAGCTGAGAATCCACGTTCCGAAAACACAGACATGTCAGTTTGCTAAATACAGTACATGCTTTGCAAAGAGCTCACCAAGACAGGTCTCACAGAGTTGGATGACAGCAGGGGGGCTGACAGGTTGACCAGGTATTTTACACAAAGGAAGCAATACAAAGAGAACAGGATACTTTTTCATACAATTACATGGTACAGTTGGCACATATCAGGAATATGAAATGTTGAGGTAACATATTCTTTAATGTTTGGACTTGATTCTCAATCGTTTAATATTTGAAATCTAGATTTTGATGGGGAGTATCATTTTACCAATGCATTGTTGTTTATTTGACTTCAAATAATTTTGTCCGTACCTCACTGTAGCAAGGACATGCTGTATGTAGTTAGTCCCCACCCTTCTTTCTCATGCTTAGTCTCCATTCTCCAAGTACACTATATTCTGTTGGAGCTAGACACACTAGGGTTTTTTGACCTATCTGATGTTCACACGTTATGATCTTCACAAGTTTTTGGATTAAAGCTTTTGTAAATACCCTAAAAAACAACAGTATGGGACTTTAGTGGTACAATATAGGACAGACTCGCATATATAAAAAATTACATATTTTATTGAATACAACATAAATTTGAATTGTTTAAAAACAATACAAGTCTAACCAGCCCAAGTGTATCTGTAATGTTCTCTATAGCATTATATCCTCCAAAAGGTTAGCTTCCTAAAGACAGTAGAGATTGGAGGCAGAGAGATCAATTGCCTTAGCTAATAAAAAAAAAAATATATTCTGTATATACATACATAAAACATTAATCATGTAAAGAAATTTCCAAAGAAAACATAAACATTGAAAACTGTTCTCCGCAAGCACATATACCGATGCAGACGGGGATGCAGGACATCAGTACACGTAGGGAGTAGACAACGTAGTCTTGAATGGGGCATCCATATCCATTATTCATCCTGATGCGTTACTGCACTGCGTTATTTTTAACTGACAATTGCGTGGTCATGCAACACTGCACCCAAATGAAGTTTATGTCCTTTTTTTCCCATGAATTGAGCTTTCTTTTGGTGGTATTTGATCACCTGTTTTTATTTTTTACACTATGAAAAAAAAAGACCGACAATTTTGAGAAAAAAACTTTTTGCTATTAAACATGTCCAGTGAAATTTTTAAAAAAATCTAATTTTGTTATAAAGTTACACCACAATGTATTCTGCTACGTCTTTGCTAAAAAAAAATCCCAATACATGTAAATTAATTGGTTTACGTGAAAGTTATAGCGTTTACAAATGGCAGTACAGATACTGGAATTTTTTTTTTTTTTGTTTACTAGTTATGGCGGCGATCAGCTACATCCCCAGTGACACCAATACAGTGATAAGTGCTAAAAAAAAAGCACTGACACTGTACTAATGGTACTGGGCAGGAAGGGGTTAACATAAGGGGCGATCAAAGGGTTAACTGTGTGCTGGGAGTGTTTTCCCGTGGGGCGGTGTGTTGGTGCTTCACTGTAAGCACACTGCTCTGGATGGCTGTGCTGTGCACAGCCATCCAAAGCAGTGTGCCCGAGCGGACAGGGAGGACGACTGTTAGTATACAAAGCAGCCCTCCTCCCCGTTGAAGATCCTCGATAATCACTGGGCGCCGGCAGGTAATCACAGTCCGGGACCCGGTGATTGACAGCCGCGGCCGCGAATGGTGGTGCGGGTAGAGCGCACACACAAAAAAACACAAAATCACGGATATATATCCGTGATTTTGCACACCCCTGCCGCTCTGTAGCAGTATATCTGCTATAGGGCGGTCTGGATATGGTTAAAATATGGAATCAGAACAACCCGTGACCTGAGACTTCCTAACTGGGCAGTACATTCTGCTGGTTGCAATATAAATATATATATATACAAAAATTTTAAAAAAACCTTGTACTTTCATACATCTGTACCTGTGTTTTGGAGCCTACTTAGGGTGCAGATGTGTATGACTATTTAACATCTTCCCTCCCATAGCAGATTGACGGCTGGGTGGGACACTCCTCCCTGTGACTGGGCATGATATGATGTCCTGTCAGAAGGAGACATGCACTCAGCCGCGTGTTTATCTGTCACCGGCAGTGTCCACAGCACGCCGCCAATATCACTACACCAGCCCAGGAGCGGACTGACAACTCAGGGGGGTCCCTGGGCAATAGGGGATCATGGGGCCCCTGTGTTCTCACCCACACCCAAAAAGCCTATGAAAAAGCCGATGAAAGGTACCAAGGGCATCTCATGGGGCCCCCTACTGACCCTGGGCCCTTGGGCAGTGCCCTAGTGCTCGAATGGTCAGTCCGCCTCTGCACCAACCCATTGCCAGTGTCATGTGACCGCTGTGACCAATCATAGCAGAGCACATGTCAATTGTATACAACGGATGGCTTCCTGTCATGCCATCCATTCTATACAATTGTATGTTAGCTGTGATTGGTCAAAGCAGTCACATGGTACAAACAGAGCCAATCACAGCCCATCTGTATCATGTGATGAGCTTTGCCCAATCAATTGCTAATCAAAAAAAAAGACTGAATGAATCAGTTTCATTCAGTAACAATGATTGCAAATATCAATGAGATACATTGGTATAAGCAATCATAATGTCTAAAAAAATAAATAAACAACCTCCAAAAAACTCAGCATGCCTCTTACTAAATACTTTGGAGTGTCTATTTTCCAAAAATGGGTAATTTGGAGGGTATTTGTACTATCCTCAAGAAATGAGATAGGCCGTCAGTACTCAAGGATTGATAGATTGTCAGATATATATACCATGGTTTGTGAACTCTATGACTTTCCTACAGACTAAATAATATACACTAATTTGGGGTATTTTCACCAAAGAAATGTAGCAGAATACATGTTGACCTACATTTTATGAAGAAATTTTATTTATTTGCAAAATTTTATAACAAACAAAGAAAAATGTGTTTATTTTCAAAACGTTTCGGGGTTTTTTTTTTTTTTATTAGCAAAAAAATAAAAACTCAGTGGTGATTAAATACCACCAAAAGAAAGCTCTATTTGTGTGAAAAAAATGTTAAAAATGTTTATGGGTACAGTGTTGCATGACTGCGCAATTGTCATTGCTGAAAGCTGAAAATTTGGCCTGGGTAGGAAGGGGGTAAAAGTGCCCTGTACTGAAGTGGTTTAAAACACATTCAGAAGATCATAGCAAAGAAAAATTACTCTGGCTTCTACACCAGTGGAAATGCATTCCAAGCAAACTCATCAAAGCTGTAAGGAAAGAAAAAGTGCACTTCGTGGACAAGAACAATGTCAGCTTTCACATGCTTTGTTCAAGGAGACCTGTATGTGCAAAGTGACAGTGGGAAACTTCATACGTTTTGTGAATACGAGCATCGAAATTCTCCTTTTTTCCGGACATCTGTGTGACTTAATTTATCTCTCCTCATGTACATCACAAAAAATTGCCCCATTTCTTCTCTATTAGAACCAATATCACAAGAGCAACACCACACAAAAATACCACGAATCAGAAACAGAGCATTGACAATTACTGATGTCACAGTTGTTACTGCTTGGCCAAAATAATTGTCTGAAGCTAAAAATTAAATCCTAAATATACCTAAAATACACATGCAAGATGCTTAAAAGCATGCATGTTTAAGTACACAGAAAGGTTTACAAAATTCTCAAAAAAAAACCCACTGGAAAATCACCTGAAAATGTCAAAACCTAGGTATGAATGCAGCACAAAGAGCAGCATGAAGAACCTTATACCCAAAGTTGGCATCAGATGAGGCTTAGACATGCACCTGGGAGCATTTACAGAACGTGCCCACATGGAAGAAAAATATATTTGAAATATATTTAATAAAAAATATTTTCCCCAAAATATATTGACATATATTTGAAATACTACAATTTTGGCCATATTCAATATATAGTTGAATTATAGTTAAAATGTTTGTTAAACGTTTGATTGAAATAGCTTTTGATTTCAGTAAATATGCTGCAAACACAACAAATGACAATTTTCAGGTGTATATGCACACATAATATATACAATGTGTATATATGTGATGATGTGGGAAAAAAAAAAAAAAATATATATGTATACAGTTTGGGGAAGAAAATGTAATTAGAGGGAAAATGGGATGAAAGCATGTATATGTTATATACATATGTATGTGTATAGATATATATACACACACATTGCAAGTACAATAGTAGTATATACTAAATAATCGACCTAAGAGATCATAAGATAGCTTATCTGGTAACAACAACAGAAAAAAAATGATTATTGTTATTAAAGATGCATGGCCATGATTGGCGAATGGACTCATGACAAATGACGTGTACTACACAGGGCACAACTAGAGAAAATGATTGGCGGTAGGAGTTATATACATGAATAGTGGAAGAAATTTTCTAGTAATAATAGATAATATAATATAAATAAAACAAAAAATAAACACACTTAAATACTCCATGTGTGTATGTGCATGTAGGTGCATAAAAATAAAAAAATAAAAAAACTATTTAAAAAATTAATTTTATAAAAAATAAAAAATACTTTGTTAGTGAAAAATAAATAATATAAAAAAAAAAAAAAAAAATGTTTAAAAGATATGGTGCTAGATGATGGTGTGTATTTCAATTTCCTCATTTAGGCCCCTAGGGGCGAGGGTTTCCAAAGTGAAAATCCAATATGTCTCCTTTTGGCAGTTTTTTGAAGCGTTCAGCTAGGGAGAGGTGGTCGGATATAGCTTCAATGACCCATAAATTTTTAGGTTAAGCTGAGGATTTTGAATGGAATTCCGAAAAATGGTGTGGCACACTATGTTTAGTGATACCCTCGTCCACTAGTCTGCGGTGTTTCCCCAAAAAGTCCTTTCCGCAGTGTTCTAGTAGACGATTAGCTAATCCTAGCATCATCATCAAAATGGCAGACAAGGGTGGAGGGATAGTCATCCAAGAAAACTGATTATTTCGCTGAACTAATCGTCTACTTTCTGACACAAACACCTACCAAAAACTGACCTCGGACACTTTTTCTAAATACATCATAGAATCCAATAACATCATCAAAATTGCCACTCAAGAGGGTATACTTTCAAAATCAGAAGCCTCTCTTTTCCGTAGGGATGTACAACCCTGTTACAAGTTATTATGCAAATGATATTTTTCTCATTTACCTAAATAATTGATGTAAATAAAAGTCAGCATAATTCTCATGTTATCAATTATTAAAGAGTACAATTCAAATTTTATTGAACAAATCCTAATGATAACAGTATTTTTTTTAAACATAAAAATAACTTACAATGCACTGTTCCAAATTAATTACGCCAAGTAAGTTTCAAAAACACTTTATAGGTTGTAAAGAACTGAAAATTGTCATTTGTTGTGTTTGCAGCATATTTACTGAAATCAAAAGCTATTTCAATCAAACTTTTTAACAACATTTTACCTTTTAAAACATTTTATACAGGTCACATAACATTTTAAACATAGGACCCCTTATTTGAATAGCAGCTTCACAAGTCTTGCATCCATTGAACTTGTGAGTTTTTGGACAGTTTCTGCTTGAATTTGTTTGAAGATTCAGAATAGCCTCCCAGAGCTGCTGTTAGGATGTAAAACTGCCTCCCTACCCTCATAGATCTTTTGCTTGAGGATGCTCCAAAGGTTCTCAATAGGATTGAGGTCAGGGGATTTGAAATGGAGGCAACACCATGACTTTTTCTCTCCTTTTATCACCATAGCAGCCATTGATGCAGAGGTATTCTTTGCAGCATGAGATGGCGCATTGTCATGCATGAAGATGATTTTTATTACGGAAAGCATAGTTCTTTAAATTCTGTACCAGGGAAGAAAGTGGTCAGTCATTAAACTCCATATACTTTGCAGTGGTCATCGGGATCCTAAAGGGGCCTCTGACCAGCTCTGTTTCCCAATGATTTCGGCCCAGAAAAGCATCACTCCACCACCGCCTTGCTGATGTCACAGCCTTGTTGGAAAAAGGGTGACCGTCCACCAACCATCCACTACTCCATCCATCTGGACCATCCAGGGTTGCACGGCACTCATCAGTGAACAGGACTGTTGAAAAACTTAGTCTTCATGTATTTTTATGCCCAATGCAGCCGTTTCTGCCTGTGAGCATTGGTTAGTGGTGCACAGTTGCAAGACTCTGGAGGACTCTACACCTTGATGTCCGTGGGACTGCAGAAGGCACCAGCAGCTTCAAATATCTGTTTGCTGCTATGTAATGGTATTTTAGCAGCTGCTCTCTTGATCCGATGCATGGATCTGGCAGAAATCTTTCTCAATCTGTGCTCTGAATCAGCCACCAAATATCTCTTAATAGTGCGATCACCACGCTTAAGTTTTCGTGAAATATCTAAATGTTTTCATACCACGTCCAAGGCATTGAACCCTATTTCACTCTTTTTGACAGCAGAGAGATCCTTTTTATTCCCCATATTGCTTGAAAAATGGTGCTCTGCTTTATAATGTGGAACCACCCTCCTTTAGTAGTTTTTCCTTAAATTGGGCTCACCTGCCAATCTAATCATCAGGTGTTCAAGATTTTTTTTCAGTGATCAAAAGAGCCCTGAGACACAATGCCATCCATGAGTGAAACTGAAAAACTAAAAAAAATATTTTATCTTTGTGACACTTAAATAGAATTTGCATAATAATTTG